TGGATCTACCTGCGGTATTTTATTGTTCTTATCGCAAATTTGGAGCCACCATTGTCACGATTCATCCCTGTGACCGCACCTGCCACCACTTCTCACACTCAATTCTTTATCCGGGCAGCCAGCCTGTCGTGAACTTCCGATTTGGTTCTCTTCTAGCTACTGACGATCTATCAAACGAGCGAGGTTTTATCTCGCCGCACACTTCCCCCGAAATGCGCTTTTCTCTTTCAACTCTCTTGGCGCTGGGCGCCCTACAGACTCTCAGTGTCTATGCTCAGGACTGCATCGTAAGTGACTAGCGCTTAATCACTATGCATTCACTCGAAACAGGTGCTGATGGCCCCCAGAACACATGTGTTGAATCAGTAAAGCCAACTGTCGGCTGCGCAGATGCCACCCAGGCCGGTTGTATTTGTGTTAGCCCCAGCTTTATCAAGGGTGTGGCTGAGTGCGCAAGAGCGCCTTCATGCAATGCTGCAGACGCCGATATTACCAGCTTTTTGAGCAACGGGTTTTGTGTCGGTATGTTGTCAGGTTTCAATAGTATCTTACACGAAATAGCGAATACTGACAAGACTTAGGTCAGCAACTCCCTGCCCTTCCAGAAGCTGCCGCAACGTCGGCGTCAGGCGCAGCGACGACATCTGCAGCAGCTGTAGCAACTTCGTCCGAAGTAGCAGCAGCAACATCGGGGACCCCTGCCGCGGCTGATACCTCTGATGCTGCATCAAGCTCTGCTGTGCCCCCGGTGACTTCAGAGGCACCTCAAGCCACTTCGACTGATGTTGTGGATGCGATTTCCACGTCTGAAACTGCCGGTGCCGTCGAACCTACGGTAAGGCTGTGATGTTAAGCGTTCGAGGAAGCTGAAAACTAAACATTGATAGGCCACTGGATCTGAGGCCTCTGCTTCCTCCACCAATACCGCCAGCTCATCAACAGCTTCCGAGGCGGCTGGTGCTGCGGCTACCGCTGACTCTTCAGATGACGACTCAGACAAGAAGGAAGAATCTTCCAGCGGCATGTCTGGTGCTGCGAAGGCCGGTGTTGGTATTGGAGTTACTATTGGTATCCTCGCACTTCTCGGCATCGCAGGTTTCTTCTTCTGGAAGAAACGTCAAAACCAGCGCGATCTTCCTCGTGGAAACATGGCAAGCATGTCACCACCTATGGCTACTAGGGATCGCAGTTATCCTTTACCCGACCAGGGGTCCATTGGCGAGAAGAATGGATATGACCTTGAACTGATGTCCCATCGATATGAGGATATGCTTCCTCGCGAAGAACCGCGACACATGGTTTGAGCAAAGATAGCTTGTGGGAGACATCGGCGTTTAAAACGGGGCACAGCAGAATCAATATATGGCAGATGACAATCGCATGCGCACTCTATTAATCACTGCATAACATCACTGCATAGCACATGTCTAATTGTAGTTTGGTATTAGCCAGTCGGCGAGGCACCAGCACATATCGCTCTGCGAAACGGTATGGCTATACCCGCAAAGGGTAGACGTTCATGGGTTTGTTGATCATGAGTGGCAACAAGATTTGGGCCAACTCGACGTCAGACGATTATTTTATGAACATACGGCCAGAGCCAATATACCACACCAAGTCGATCACGTTAGCACTGGCGCGTAAACTTCAATCTCAGTCAAGTGTACATCCCATTCACTGTACATATCTTACAAGTTTCTATGAGAAATTACATGGTGGCCTCTGGCGACGCCTGAAGACTCCGTCTCTTTTTTAAACTTCATTTCCGGATGGCAGTCGTGGTTTTACCACGAGTAATATGGCCTCTGTCCATATACTGGTCGGTTGGGGAGATGCACCCAGGGTCCCTTCTTGTTCTTCTTTTCCACACGCTCCTCGTATTCTCGTATTCTCGTCTTTTCTTCCTTGAGTAACACCGTTAGACCTAGAGATGAGTTAGCGATTTCAAAACCAGATATGTGACCAATGTGTGCATACTTGTGCTAGGATGTCTGATGATGCCCATTCGTCCACGACCCTTGTAGTCGATTCTCTTCCCTCGCCAGGGGCCCCTCCCAACCCACGATTGAGCGATATACATTCGCGTAGGGTCCTCAATCTCCATCCATTTGCCATCGACTGTTTGGATCTTCTTGGGAGTTTCCAGAATCTCATTGTTGACTTTTCCGAGTCCCATACCACGCTGTGCAATAGCCAAATCTCGAGCCTCCTCAAGGTAATATCCAATTTCGGCCGCCATCTTCTTCTTGGACCACTTCATCTGCACAATGGCGTCGTCGACGCTCTTTCCTGCGATCTGGCGGGCCAGCATTACGAGTTTCTTGACACTTGTGGGCATAAACTCGCTCTTGTGCAGAAGTTCGCGCTCGGACATCTGAATGCGCTCGTCCCTTGTCAGACGGCCGTTGCGGCGCACCATCTGAATAACCTTCTTGCGCTGCCAACGCACTCGACTTCGAGGATCGGGGTCCACAACCATGGCCATGTTCTCTTTCGTCTTTTGCTCGACCTCGGGGGCACCCGGTGTAGTGTCGGTACTGACTTTTTCGATCTCGTCCTGGAAAATGTTGTCCTCCACGCCGCTGTACATGCTCTTCTGTAGATATTCTTCACGGCTCTTGGGGTCGTCGAGCAGAGATGTAGGGTCCTGTGCTGGGGAAGCTCCAGCGTCTTTATTCCGGGGTTTGCCCCATCCTTTGAAGAGATTGGAGGCCCATTTATGCCGTCGTTGTACTGAGGGTCCGAAAGCAGTAGAGAAAACAGGAGCTGGTGTACTAGATATAGGGTGTGCGGTCCTTGCTGTAGAGAAACGCTCTTGATTAGTCCATGTAACTTCTGGGCCAATTGAGTTGCAAAGAAAGCGGACTGAGCGTTGTCGTACCTGATACTGCCAGCCGCCGCGCGGCAAATCGGAGACTCATGGTAGCAGATATTGTCGGGCTCAGCAAACCGACCACTGTCTACCTGTTGTATCTTCCAGCTGAAGGTCGTTTCAATGGGCGAGATTCTTTTCGGCATGATTCGCCGTTGTTCAACCGGATGATGTGCACGTGACTCGGGTGTTAGCGCGATTAACATCAGCCCATCTTCGGAATCAACTTGGAACTGCTTGACCACATCGAAACTCCCCAGCACCTCTATACTTTCTCGAAAGCCTCGCTCCTTCGCCCGAACAGCTTCGCAAAAGTAAACTAGTCACAATGGCCGTCCGACCCATCACCGGTGTATGTTTCCTTCGACTCAATGGCTCGCTTTTGGCACTCGACCGGGCCAGAGGAGCCTGAGCCTCCCGGTACCAGAGCTTTTCGTGGACTGACAATTGTGCTAGATGCTCCGACGAAACCTCGTCCTGGACCTTAGCATCGCACTCGGTACGTCGATTTCTCTGCTGGATTGATTCGGATTCCATGAATTGGCAATTACATAATTCAAAGGAGGATATTTTGAGGAGCTGACAATTCGAATCATGTGGTTGGTTGGAGTCCACCTAGCTGACTAGCAATATTGTAGGCTCCGGCTTCGTCATGGCCAACTTCTTCTGGTAAGCAATACCGCCGACGAAACGACACGACGCTGAGAGTATATGCTCACCATTCCGAACCAGGTACGGCTTCCACATGCCCCGAACCAACGCCCGCGACAACTACTACATCAAGCTCGAAGAGGAGCGAGCTGCCCAGAAGAACGAGTAAAAGAATCAACGAACCGAAACAATACTTTGTCATTCAAGCAAGGGCAACGAGAGATGGGAGTGCACATAGATACGTTCAGGCGGCTTGCCGAGGTTTCGTTTGTCGTGTAGCTGGGTAGAGAAGAGAATACCACCAACGCTTCATTTGAAACGGTCTTCGTGCATTCTATATTAATGGACAAGGGTAACCGAGCTAGTGAAGTACAATTCGTGAGGCTGAGAGTATATCTGGGGTCGACAGTGCAATCATGTGTGGTCGAATCATAATTAGAGATTCATTCATCGATAAGGAGCAATTTTGGTTCATATCTCGATTTGAAATCTAACTTAGCAAATAAAATAGTGACAGTTTGTACTGAATCTGTAAACTAATGGTTTGATAACGATGTCGTTTGCTGGTCACCTCGGCCCATTCCGGCAATGCCGTCATCAACTTGTTGCAGCCCTTCAGGTGACTCAGCGCTCTGATATTCAAACTCACGTCGACTATCACAGAATCGAGCATTATTTGAAGGCTGCATTTTCTTTTTCTTTTTTCTTATTCGCTACCTGGGTCGGTCGTACGCATGACTGGATGCATGCTCTACTTAACTAGAGACTGTTGGGGCTAACAATGACGTTGGAGTTTCACAAGAGAATCAGCGTCTCCCTTGAGAGGTCGGCATGCTATGTGATTTTCGGAGATAATAGCAAGTTGGCTTGGGTTGGTGTAAAATCGATAGTTTCGTTTGGTTTATCGTGCTGCGTCTGGCGCGTGCCAACTTGATGACCAGTGATAGTGCTGAGGAGGCACCCTGTCTTTGCTGTGCTTTCCATCATCACTTCTCTGTCCCACTGGAGGATACTCTTTGCCCTCCCAAGCCGTCGTCTCGACCATAAAGGAGCCCTTTTTATCTTTACATCTATACCAGCAGATAACTCACGTCAGAGTCAACATTTGTGATACGGTATGCCTACTAATGTTTGGGGCGCCATTATAAGGATCAGGTGGGGGAGAACTTACTTCCGGAACAATCGCTCAATCGCAAAGCATTGCACAGGACTATCCGGCTTGACGGGCTCTTTGATTTCGCACTTGTACTGCAGCATCTCGAGAAGTTCGCACCCAGAGAGTTCGACATTATTGACCCCTTTATCCAATTTGCGCTTCCGGCCGCTTAGGTTGGTCTGCACGCGCTCAGGAAGCTCTGAAGCGTGGAAGACTTGGCACGGATAGCCCATTGTCAAGAACACCCAAGATCGTACTGAACTGAACGATCAGCATCCAAGTAAAAGGGCCCCTAGAAATTTCAGCTTTCGGGGTCTCGGAATGGAGACAGCGACGGGGAGTCGGTTGTTAGGTGAGGTTGTTGAGATGAGCCTCGAAGACGTAAGTTGAACTTGAGATTTTGGGTCTAAGCTTCTTGCCTACCTTACCTATTGGACCCAAGCATTCAGCACATCATGATTAGATATATTGTGTTATCGTCTCGAGAAGTCAATTACACTGCCCTGGATTCTTTTGACTTGGTTTCACCTTCATGTAATCACGGCAAAACCCTCGAAATAGGTATCTTTACACATCATGTATCGAGCAAGGACCTTACGAGCTGGTGTGGCTTACCCTTGAGCCACCGAAAGAGTGAAATCAACCTCACTTTTGATCCAAGCCGACCATAAGGGCTTGCCTTTTCGAGCGACACTCAGACTCCTACTTATCAGCCCTCAAGAGACTTGCTAAAATATCACAATAGGTCCTTCGAAGCTTGCGCTCTTCACTCCCGACAGACCCCAATCGCTTGAGCAGTCGGGATCAGGTCCCGCATCAACCTCAAATCCTGCCAAACAAACTTACGCATATATCAGAACTTGATGATATCACAGCAGCTCACTTTCATGCTACAAAATCTGCTGGTCTCGGCATATCTGGCCGTCATCTGCCACTACTATACAGGCTCATATCAAACCTCATCACCCCTCCGCACCTTTACGCCCTTCTGGTCATCGATATTGAAGGTCGTTTTGATGCCACGCGCCTGACTTGTTCGCCATCTCATTTGCAACATGTCTACGTCCACCGCCCAGCACGAAGTGACCCAGACAATACTCGTGCTCTCGTAGCCGATGCAGAGGACATTCTTCTCTATGGAAGTGTCGCAAAGGCGAGTGCCGGTCGCGAATGGTGGGGGACTATCGTTCTGGGTGGTGTTGGAGCTGGTGATATCACAACAGGCTGGAAGGGATGGCTTCGTATTGAGCGCGAGAGCGTCCGTGGCTTTGCACCGGGCATCAGCGCAGAGGAAGCTTTGGACCACAAGAGGCAGAGACAAGATATTGTCGATGCAGCTGGCTGGGCTGCTACCTCGCAGTGGGGAGGTTTCGTCTTCAGAGAGGCTCATGAGAAAGTGTCGGAAGAGGATGCGGATCCAGAGCAACCCTTGGGTATTGTTGAGCGAGATGAGAGCGCCCGAGACTGAATGATTAAGGGTCGAATTGCCAAAGAATCAGCTGCTTCAGACTTATATTCATGTTGATATCGAACAGTGCAGCTCAAAGTCATCATGAACACCACATACGAGGTTACAGGTGAGCCATCCAGAAGATTGACTGGAAAGCACAGTGACATTGTGAAGGCCAGATCTCAATGTATGCCAGCAAAGGCACTTCATCAGGGATTGGGACCGAGACAAACTTCAGTCGTGAATATGGACATGAGTCGACTTCCTCCTGGACACGAGTTGTTGATCAAGTCAGTGCAGTGGAGCAATGGATGTGTCGAACAAAGTCTCAATGTTTATTAGGACGGGGGGAGCGGGCATTGCACCATGTTCCATTCCTCAAACACACTGGATGATGCTCTTGTTCCGAATGTTTGTCATGTGATTTATTCCAACAGATTATCACTCAACTGTCTAAGATAAGTTAGAATGCGTTATTCGGTGGTGTATGAATTGGTCACTTCGCAAAATACTGCCTGAAGACATTGTAAGAGCCGTGACTTTTTTTTTCTATCTTTTTGCTGTTCTATGGGATTTGATGTGATGCTCATCAGGGTATAGTAGGGTGGTGCATCAAAGAAGGCAAGAATCTAGCTAGATATGATGAAAAGCCTCGAAACCAGAACCCATCCGTCTATCCAGATGTTTCTTGTTCTATCCAGTCTTCAAGACTTGTATGTATATCGTGCTCATGACACCTGCAAAGAGCCGTTATGCAGATGTTTGTGTAAAAGACTGTTCGTAATGCATGGCTGTAACAAAGTAAAGATACCCGAAACTCCGTCAGAATATAGAGGCGAAAAAACCAATAACCCAAAATGTAATGTTTGAAGTGAAGAGTGTGAGTTGAATTAGATGGTAATACCATCCATGTCGACAGCAATCTCTGTGATGCCGGACTCAGGGATAAGGGCAGGCTTGGACATGTGACCCTTTGCAGCCTTCTTATCCATTTCACGCTTGATGCCGTGGTTCACGGCATCGAGAACATTCTCGACGGTGACTCGAGGCTTGTAGGCGGGTTCAGTGCCCTCCTGGTAGACACCGGTCTTGACGAGAATGCTGTACCAATCATTGTCGGCGACCTTATTCACGGCGTTGGTGCCTCGAATATCACTTTCAGGAGTGTCGCCAACAAAGTAAACTGTCTCAGGAGGAGCAACAAGACCATGCTCAGTCTGACGCCACTGGCCCATCAGACGGGAGGCAAACTCGAAGGTGGAAACCTGAGGCTTTCCAAAGGCGTGGGTGTGTAGAACGCCGTTACCGCCAGTGAGATCCTTGAAGGTGACTTCGAACATGCGGCGAAGGGCACCCATACCTAGACGGACATGCTCATGCGCAGCAGACCAGACAACATCGTTGTGAGAGAAGTAGAAGGGGGGGCCCTCGTCGTTGGTCTCACTGCGGGTACCCAAACGGCCACCCTTTGACATAGCAACGTCAAGCATGATCTGAATGTCTCCAGCCCAATCGCGAGAGTCGGCGAAGACAAAGACAGCGTCGATGACAACGTCGGAGAAGTCTCGCTCACGGGAGTTGGCATGCTCCTCAGCGGTAAGCTTGCGGAAGGGGGTGGTAGCGGCGTTGTGCTTGATGATATCGCCAGGTGTGACAACATCCTTGAAGCCATAGCCCTCAGCAACATGTCGGCACTTCTCGCCCTCACCACCGACGACAAGGACGGTGCCATACTTCTCGGCCATTTCTCTCATGGGAGTGTGGCCGCAGATGAATTGGCCAGGCTTGATGTCGCACTTGAGCTGACCTGAGAGATCGCCGCATCGCTCCTCTTCAGTCTTACCACCACCATTGGTGAGGAAGATGTGAGGTCTGCAAGAGGTGTCAGTATTGCATGGTTCAGCGCCAGGGTAAAAGTCACGATGCCGTTTATTAAGTGGACCACCCCAGAATAAATCCGGGGTTGGTGGATCATGACTGCATGCATATATATGTGGATGAACCGACTTACACTTGAATGCCATACTCATTCTCGCCGTTGAGAACCTTCATGGCCTGGATGGCCTCAGGGATGGCTCGTCCACCACGGACCAAGACACCATCGATGTCGAAAGCGAAGACAAACGAGTCGGCGACAGGCTGTGAGATGGGAGGGGAGATGGGAGAGGCGGGAGACCCGAGACTGGCGATACTGTCACTTGAGCTGGAGCTTCCGAGCTCAGGAGAGCTGGGGACAGAGTCGGGGGTGGTGACCTCACGCTGGGCGGGGAGGTTGTCCTTGAAGAACTCGGTCTGTTGTGAAGACATGGTGATGGTGTTGCTAGGAATGGATATGGTCCTGTTCAGGCGCACGCGTAGCAGAAGGGACGCGTGTAGAAGTTGAGGTATCGGTAGAGTGCTTCAAGCAATGTATGATACCAACGGAGAGATTATTGAGAAATGACTCGGGGAGTGTCGAGCTATTTGTGTGTCTGGTGGTTGTTGTTGATAGTGGATATGGAATCTGGGGAATGATGGAGACTGATGAGTTCTACCGTCAAGAACGGTGGGAGAAATCTGGGGCTTTATAGATTTAGATGACAAGCGAAGAGCAACTGGCAAGTACGCAAGATTCCTGAGGATACAATGTCCAAACAAGGCGTCATCTTGGCCGTGGCTCTGATCGATATCGAATCGAAATCAACATCCATGGCATTCTCGGTGGACGCCCGTCGATACGTAGCTTGGGGTCCAATAACCGAGTCAGTCACTGTCAATCGAAACCGTGGCAGGCCATGGATGATTCCCCCTTACCCACAATAACGGTTCCACCGTATTTCTTGTGAGGCATTGTTTTGGTTACAGCAGAAAAACTCTAAGATACAGTATGAGGTAAGGGATGCGATGCGATGTGATGCAAAGGGCGATGACGGGTGTTGCTTTTCGTGTCTGAGCGACAAAGGTACCTGCCAGAGCGAGACAGGTGGGGTACTGAGTACCCATCGTTCCCTGCTGCCATGTACGGGGAAACATGGTATTGGCTACGCTAGCTTCTGATAACCTGCTGTCTCTCTCTACTCGCGGCTGGGGCGGGCTGTCTATATACACTCTGCATCCGTACCTGGGTTGGGTTCCATCTCTTTAGACGCCGTCGCCGCACTAGACCAACCCCATTCTCAACTTCAGTTCGCGTCCTTTGAACGTCATGACCGACCAGCCAGGCACGGCAAAGGGCACGGGCGCGGAAACAAACAAGTACTACACATACAATATCTGGTCTTCGAGATACGAGACATGCCTCGTTCCCACTTGTCAACCAACAGCTGAGGCTGTAAATAACGCAAATGGAGCTCATTCTCTTGAAGCAACATCCCTACTGTACTGTACATACATGGTCATGGATCAATCGATGATACATACATGGCATACATAGACTAAGCACTCATGATATCTGACTGTTCACAGTAACACGGTACCACCGATGTTCTACTGTACAAACAAACAAGCAATGATCCGTCCTGTCAGACGTAGGACACGGCATGGGAACGCCAATGGATTCTAGTTTTCTAATCTGGCTGCCCTGAATCGCGACAGATAACAAAAGCTCACCGCATAAAACGGTGTACCACCGTACCGTCTGATAACGGCAAGGATGTGCTGCAGAAAAGATTTCTTCCTTTGGTGTGGACCCTGAGACTCCCTGTTATGGTTCGTAGCTCCAATCAGGGTCTCAGTGCCGGCCATTTTCAGCCAGTCAGACAGGCATGCCAGGGAACGTCTCTTTTTGCAGGGAGGCTTGCAGATGGCTTCACCACGCAGTAACTTTGCTCTGCCTCTGCCTCTGCCTCTGTCTCTGGTCTCTGCCTCATTTCAGGAGTCTCTATTTTTCAAGGGCTCGGGCGCAAACTCAAAGCTACAGTACAGGGCTCATTTCTCGGCGTGAGAATTAATGCAAGGTCGACGACATCAAGCGCCTGTTCCGCCAGAGAAACCGGATTGAGATGGTGATAGTATCCACCGTCAAGCAGCTCATCCATGACGCCAATACGGTCACCGTCAGGAGGAAGAGGCATTGGCGAAGCGCAAAGGTACATAGATGCTCTATACCTCCACTGTATCCCAACCACGACCACGGAATCAAGAGTCGCTACGTCGATACTTTGCAAATCTGGCCCCGGTTTCGTTATTTTCGCGCGCACAGTTTCGGTCCGTTGTTTTATGTGACGTCAAGCCAGCTCCGCTCAGGGTCCGCTCGGGCCCCGCCAGTCCGGTCCGCAGCCCTATCAGCCATGCCGTCCGGCCCCACCAGGGGACACCGTTATCCACCCATGGTCCAGACGGCCAACTTCGGCTGGGCGCCATCACCAAACGATTATTCATGCCAAACCCGTCTCACAAGTGTTGCCTTGTCCAGCAATCGACAATCATATTGCGATCTTGAAAATGAGCAACAGACATGAAAGAAATAACGCAATTGCAACGAGTGACATGACACGCTCATATCGTAACAGGAGGAGAGATCATGGTTGCACAGGCATCGCATCTACCTTATGTATGTATCTGCAACACAGACCATCCAATACAAGATCTGTCCCTGAAAGCATGTGAAACGCGGTCCCCAAGATAGCCCTTATCACCCCTATCGGGTTCAGATCTGCATATGGGAGGGAGCACAAGTCTACAGGGTCCCTCTACGCTGAAAGGGTTCGGTTCGTCCATGGGCCCTGAATTGGTGGTTTGTTGTTGGCGGGCTGCAAGTCACTGCATCGGTCTGCCACATCAGTCCAACCGAGCTTGGCTTGGCTGGTCTTGGCTCGGCTCAGCTCAGCCTTTGCTGTCTGTCATCTTTTGATACGGCAGTCATCGTCGTCATTGGATTGTGCTCTACCGCTTTTCTGTCATACAAAGCACTCCTATGTCATCAAACTCAAGCATGCATCTGTCGGCCTCGTTATCTGCTTGCCCTTCCATTCCTGCCGTGGAAGAATTACATACAGCTCGTTGGACCATCATATATCCCTTGGCGGCCTCCTAAACGA